AAAAAAAGATAAAACTAACAATATGTGACTCATCATAAAACACATACATGAATACATAAACACGTGGCAAATACTGAATCATATTTACGTTTTTATAGATAAAGAATTGAATATATAAGTCTTCTGTTGACAAACACATTCAATATAGAAGATAGGACATTTATTTTCTATAGTATAAGGTTTGAATAGTTTGATCTCAACAGATTTACCAAAATATCTTTTAGTCTTGTCTATGGTCGCACTTTCTATATAACCTATATACCATTATATCTTGATGTTATAATGAAGGTTGGTAGCCGGTACTACAATTGGGACCACCTTTAGATCCTAAAGTCGTACTATTGGGGGACACTCTTAGGTCCTCAAGTCCTACTATTGGGGATACCTTTAGGTCCTCAAGTGCTACTATTGGGAGACACCCTTAGGTCCTCAAGTCCTATTAATGGGGAGTACTCTTGGGTCCTCAAGTCCTATTATTAGGGGGTACCCTTTGACCCTCAAGTCCTATTATTGGAGGATACCCTTGGGTCTTCAAGTCCTATTATTGGGGGTACCCTTGGGCGCTCAAGTCTTATTATTGGAGGGTACCCTTGTGTCCTCAACTCCTCTTATTAGGGGGTACCCTTTGACCCTCAAGTCCTATTATTGGGGGATACCCTTGGGTCCTCGAGGCCAAATGCCAAAGCAGTATTTTCGCCGTATTGAACTGAGTAGGAGCCCATACATATACCCATCAATTGATAGAGCATCCTCGATAACCCTATGATTGGCCAGAACATGGTCATGTGTTGTCCTTACAATAGGAGGAAAAAGGGCTCCTAAAATCTGATTGGTCTATTTTTGTGCCAATCAAATAGCAGGATTCTGTTTCTCAGTGATGGGATTGATGGAGACCACTACATATACCCATCAATCGATAGACCATTCTCGATAACCCTATGCTTGGCCCGAACATGCCCATCACTTGTCCTCGCAATAGGGGCAAAAAATGTGAACTCCCTTGGGTACCTTCCAGTAGTCAGGCTTGAGGACGTTAGGGCATCCACCTGTACGACTTGCGGGCCCATGGGTACCCCTAATGAATAGCCCTTGCGAAGCTATGAGTCCCTTATAGGATAGCCCTGGAGGACCTATGAGTACCCCTATAGGGTAGCCCTTGAGGACCTATGGGTACCCTACAAATAGTTCGGTTCGTTCAAATGAGCTGTTCGAACAGTTCAGCTCATTTAAAACGAACTGTTGAGAACGCTCAGTTCGCTCAAATGAACTGTTCGAATAGTTCAGTTCGTCTCAGTGAGCTTTTTCAACGGCTCATTATTTGTGAGCTTGAGCTGAGCTTGTGTACCCCCATTGTGGACCTAAATGTATCCCCCAATAGTAGCACTTGAGGACCTAAGGGTATCCCCCAATAGTAGGACTTGAGGACCCACGGGTGTCCCCCAATAGTAGGACTTGAGGACCTACAGGTGTTCTCCAATAGTAGGACTTGAGGACCGATAGGTGTCCTGCAATAGTACTACCGTTACCCCGTTCTCGGGTAACTGGTAACTGGCCGTTACCGTTCCCGGGTAACTGGTAACGGAACCGTTACCGGTACACGAGAGCCATATATTAATTACTAATGAAAAATCAATCTTTACATATTAATTAATACAATCCATGTTAAAACATCCTATGAAATAACATTGATAGTGATTGTACGAAATGAAGTAATATGGTTGTTTCGTTTTGTACATGACGTTTCTCATTGTGCGACATCTATACATTTCCATTTTTTATTCATTCTTCTATATGCTGACTCATACGAGTCTATTTTTATAAAAAGAAAACAGAACACAATAAGTGTCAACATATGTAGTTATTGCACAAAGAATAGAAATATTGTCTATTTGTCATTTAACTGAAGAGTTTATTGTGCCATATTTCTAAGATCATCGTGTTGTAAGAATAATTCACTTTATTTCCTTTTGCTTCTATATTATCAAAAATTAAATTTCTTCTTATTGTTTTACACGTAACATGTGTCTTCTATGATGATCAAGTAAGGTACTAGCAATGCTAAATTATAACAAATTTTTTTTTTCGTTATGAGTGGATAGACTGCCGCATTAAGTTCTACAAGAATACATATGTCCTGTATTCCAAAAGCATTACTAGTGCAAGAGAAACATGAAAAAGTTAGTTCAAAAAAAATTTGAAAATCTTTTGTCTGTCATGCCTGTGCGAGAAGGGCGAAATTGCTAAGGTATTTATCATGATAGAGATGGAGCGGAGGAAGGGTGCGTCTCGTGTTTTAGAAAATATAGTTTCGTTCTTGAGATATTTGCGTTTAAATAGCAGCAGTAAAATCGCCTAAAAATAAGTTCATATTCATGGATTTTGACCATCAAAAATTTTATTTCTAACCGAAAGATACATACTTTTCGAAATTAGCACAAAAACTTTCATCAAATTGTTTCATTATCATGAAAAATAATTTCCTACCAAAACTCGACCCGAAAGACCACAGGTAGAACTATGTCGAAAGAACACTGAAGGGAAGTAGAGGTTAAATTTTGGTAGAAATTTCTTTTCGTCATAGTTAAATAATTCGATGGTGTTTTTGTCTTAATTTTGAATAGTATGTATGTTTTAATTATGAATAAAATTTCCCATAGTCGAAACTTCCGAATGTGGGTCCAGTTTTAGACAATTTTACTGTTGGTATCTAAACAAGTGAATTTCTCAACAATGAAGCTATATTTTTGAAAAGTCTACTCAACTTTTTTCCTGATCCTAAAATAAGTGAAAAATATCGAAACGAACGAAACTTGAAGCTTTTGATGCAATTGGCCTTTAATAAGGATTTTCAATTTTTTAAACTTACTTTCATTACGTTCTTCTTCTAATACTAGTGCTTGAAAATTTATGACATACACATTCTTGTAGAATTTTATGAGTTCTCACCAACTATAACTAAAAGAATTGCTATAATTTCGCATTGTGGACATTTTAACTTATGCATTGAAAATTCAATAGAATCATTTAAGTATGAGTGGAAAATCCGTTTGAATATGAGACTTGATCCATGTATTTTCATTGCTATCATTTTTATTTTTATCTATTATCATCAGAGATTAAAATCGAGATAAAATCTATTCAAGATAAAAATAATATTTATTGAGCTCTATGTGCCGCAATACTATCTAATTTTTAGGTTCGAATATCGTTTATTTAATTTTATTAGAAGTTAATATGTTAAAAAGGCTACTCTCTTATTTTATTTCCTCATTTATAGAAAGAAAGATAAATTTTTAACTAAACAAATATCTGAATGTCTCGACGTGAATTATACAGTTATCGTTGGGATGGTACAAAATGGACTATCGTCACTAAATTATTTCATTCCGAATTAGAATCCAGATCATCAGTTAATATTGCTGCAAATGTAGAAAATACGGTGCCAAACGTTAAGGAACCAATTCGAATAGCTACATTCAATATACTTGCAGATTGTTTTCCATGGTTTGTTGAAATGGCTATTCGAAGTGCTGAAAGACATGAATGGCTTTGTAATGGTATCATTAATCTCAATCCCACTATAATTGGTTTAAATGAAGTTACTATTACTGCACTACAACGGCTAAAAGAATGTTCATTTATTCGTGAAAATTATTTTATAACAGACATATTTGATGAAAATAATAATGATAATACTAATCCTCTTTTTCCTCATGGATGCGTCATTTTAAGTAAACTACCATTCATTGAAGTATTTGCCATATCTGTAACAGGTAGAAAACGTGAAGCTATTGTTGGAAAAGTTCAACTTGGTAGTACTATAGAAACTTGTGTATATATATGTGCTCATCATGCAACTCCATACAAAAAAGTACAGAATTCTCAATTACGAGCACAACAAATACGTGATGTTATTGATATATTAGAACCACTTAATCATCCATTTATTATTATGGGTGATCTTAATCTTTATTATGAATTTGAAGATGCAATTGTTATTGATAATAAGTTGATTGATGCATGGGCACAAACACATTTTTCTGATAAATATCCATTTAATGATAAAAACATTGGTTATACATTTGATGCATTGAAAAATACTTTAATTCCTTATTATATACCTGGAGCATGTAGACAAATGCGACTCGATCGAATTCTTTTTTCTCATGGATTCCCAGCATTTGCCATAACACCATGTAATATGTGGGCCAATGAACCTATTAAAGCTGACAATTATCTATTTCCAAGTGATCATTTTGGACTATATATTGATTTTGTTCTCGAAAAAACTGATAATAATGAACAATCGGAAACAACGATGATGTCATTGAGTAAACCAGATCCATCGGCTGAAGAGATTCTACGTCATAATGCACAGAATAATAATGATCAAAGACCATATCGTCTTGGATTAATACAAACAACAAAAGCATTAACATCTCATGTTTTTTGGCTTGGAGCTGTAGCCCTTGGTCTTAAATAAAAAACAACACAAAGTGTTTGAATTGCACTGAATTCATTATTTTGAATTTTTTTAATAATTAATACATAAAATTCAATTTTCTATTAGTTTATTTATTAAGATATTTGCCTAGATTTGAATTATATTCAATCAAAGTTTATATTCAGTTTATACTTTAAAACTTTCATTTATCGAAAATTCGAACTAATCTTTGTACTATGAATATCAATAGATATTCATTTTATATGAATTTGTATTTTCAACATTTATCTTTCTATTAACACTTTAAATGTTATTTTGTCAGAATGTCTCAGAAAGCTAATATGATAATAAGGTCGAGTTCATGCTGCATCACATATATTTGAGAATCAAATATGAATTTCTTTCACATGATCGAAACGTATATGTAAACTTGAGTTCACACAATGATCTACAGGCAAAGAAACACTTTTCTGAATAAGCAAAAATAGAAAATTAGATTCAAAATTGCCATAGATTTATAATACTGAAAAAAAAAGAAATGAAAATTCTATTGTATTTAATTATTTTCATTCGTAACAGTCGAATAGAAGCCATAATAAGAAAATACTAGAGCCATAATAGATATAAAATGTAAATTTTTCCACATATTCCAATTTGTATTATGTGGAATATTACGTTCTGTTAATACTTGTTCACCTGTCATTGGACATATATGAGTGTTATTAGATACACAAAATGTTAAATTTCTAAATTCATTAATAGTTAATATATTTGAACAATAACGAATACCACTAATATATTTAGTCCATTTAAGACAAGAAAACCACTAAGAACCATCATCATTGTAAAACAAAGTATAACTGCAGTAAGAGCTACAGCTAAAAATTAAAAATATTTAATAATATATGATAAAAAAACAAAAAAAATTCTTTTTTTTTAAATACCAGATACAGAAGTACAAGCTGAAATAAAGAAACATACAGCCGAACCAAATATTGAATTGATAAATATAGTGAGACAGAAAATAAGAAATCGATTAATTGAACGTTGAAAACCAGTTAAAGGATAAGCAATTATAGAAAAGATAAATGAAGGTATAAAACGCATTGGAAATAAATCACAAAGAATTTTTGCTAAAAAAAATGTTGATGTTCGATAATAACCACTAGTATTTTCCTAATGTACATAGTTTTATACAAGATTATATATATATATTTCATAATAATATATATTACATGACTAAAAAGTAATCGTTCTTTAATTAATGCTTCTAAAGCACCTCCTGTACGAAATGTTTGATGTATAGAAACAAAAAAAATTGCACCAAGACGATCTGATATACTTGAATGAGTTGTTGTTTTCATATTATTAAATAATAATCCAGTAAGAATAGCTAATATAGTACAAATAATTGTTTGAGAAGCTGCTACTGCTGGATTTCGTATTGCATTACGAAATGTTCGTTGCGCAACATAATAAAATTCAGTTGTACGTGATCGAAGTTTTTTTTTGATTTATTGTAGTTAAATTTTCTTGATCATTTTCAGATATCATTGATTTTATAACATTAATTGTATTTAAGAGCGGGTCCGCCAGAATACCGCCCATCTCGGCCGCAGAAAAATTTTAGATTTTAAATTGGAATATCTCATTTGAAAGAGCTTAAAAAGTTGTTATGAAAACCCAAATATTAGCCCATGTTGACCTGTCTATGTAAATTGCTGAGGGTCACAATTTTTCAAATTTTTGGATCATGTCCTAAAAATCAACTTTTTTTATCCTGCTCGTATTTTCCGAACTTCTCGTCCATCGTTTGGTGCTTTGAGGCGCGAAACACCTTAACAGATAGAGAATTTTTTTCTCTACAAAACAGCCTATGTCTATTATTTATTGAATGTCATTTTTTAGTCGAACAATGATCAAATTTGAAAAAATAAGGATGTAATCGCGGTCATCTATTTGTTGTTTTCTGGGTTAATTTATTATCAAAGTAAGAGATTCCAGGCTGAATATTTGATATGTTGTAGCCCTGATTACGACGCATCCTTTGGTATATTTTTCTTTGAAAATTTTTACCAGGAGGTTATAAAAATTTTCTTCACAAAAAATCGAATATGCTATAATTTGACATAATATATGGGATTTTTGACAGATATTTAACAAGTAACGTTCATCGCTTTCCAATTCACTCATCCCTAGACTAAAATTAGAAATCATTTATTTGTCATGGGGCAGTATTGTGATGATTCGAAGATTATGTTTTGTTGTATATATTGAAATCTCAATAAAGCAGAGCTCTGCCTCAGCAAAAACAAATAGTGTGTTCTTATATATTGACTGGAATAGATGTGGAAAACAAATCGAAACTAGAGCGATAGCAGTGTTCAATAGTGGTATTGTCTTCCGACATATCGTGTGAGTATAACTGAAGATTTATCTGGTTGTAGTACGCACAAAATGAAGAAGTGTCTCTAGATGTTGACAGATTTCTTTGAAGAGAGGAAAGTTGACGGGATTTCGATCAGATAATGACACAGTGTCACAAAGACATGCAAGTTCAAAACCAATATCATCTCGGCGATGCTGATACATGTATACATCATTGTTGAAGAGCAATTTGAATAAGTTATTGCATTCAACATCAACAATTGCATGTAATTCGTGATTCTTCATCATAGTTAGTAGACGAGTCAGGTGATTGTCGATGGTGTGATAATGTTTACAAAGTAAACAACAATATGATTGTTGATTTTCGATGGTTGATGATTTGAGAATTTCTGTTTCGCACCAATTACATTTCGGGGAGAGTCGCATTTACGTGAATAATATTAACAGTGATGAATAAAAAAGTAGTGAAAAGAGAAATAGTTTGTGATTGATCACACGCGGAAATATTGATAGAAGAATAGGCTGATGAATATAAATTGGTTATGAACAAAAAATCTGCTGATGCGAATGCTCACTAATTATGGTCTGATGCATATGCTCAATGACAAAAACAAAATCATCCATGCGATTAAGAAAAAAGTTTTATTTTTAAAAGCAGAATATGTATTTGAATCAAATAACGAGCTTAACCAGTGTGTTACATGTTTTTCACATCAGATTTTATTCCTACAATGAAATGAATGATTGATCGAAGAAAAATTGAACGAATCGTTTTTGTATTTCAAAATTGTCGTTGTTCTGACCAAATTGATAATTCGTAGATGAATAATGTATCGAATTTGGGTTGTTACAGGAGCCAGAACATAATGAGGAAAACTGATGCATTGGAAATTCATGAGGATATAATAAAGCGAATCCTCAACCAATGTATTTTGAAAGATGCAATGCTGTTCGTCCGAGTTTTTCAATATCTGTTGATAGACAATAACATAAGAATGTTCCGGTGCAAAGTGCATGAATAGCTGCCCATGTGGCCAGTACTCGATCGCCATTGTAACATAACTGTCCAACATCAAGGTCGAATGCCATCAAACAGTTTTGAATAGAGAAGAAATTAGGATGAAAGATGAATTGAAAAGTAATACAACGTGGCCCATTAGTATTGAGTAATATGTCGCCAATGGTGGAAGACAAGATCACTTCGAACTGATAAACATGATTCAATGCCAATGTAGTTCGTCGTACTAAATATTGGCTAGAGATATTTTCTTCCATGGTATTCTAAAATCATTGAAAACTAATGTTTGGACATATATAGACATATAGAATTTCAATTCATGTGCAAAAATGTAAAGATGCAAGAGAATATATCAAATATGAAAAGTTCTAAAAGAAAAGTTTTGATTTTAGGAGATCTATAGAAGAAGTCTAGAAAGGAAAATTGAAAAGTTAGAGTCAAAGTGTAAAGAAACTGAAGGTTTTGTGATTTGGTCCATTCTCAAAAGACATGTTGTATTTTTACTATTCAATTTGCATCATAATCTAATGTTCATGTGATTTAGTAGTATTTTCAATTGTTGATAATTTAAAGGAAATGAATATTTTCGATATTTTTTTCCTTCTTCTCCTTGTATGTACATAATAATTCATGCGTTAAAGACTACTCAGAATGGTAGTTCGGAATTATGGTGAATGTCACGTAGACAAGAACTGGTATTTATTTTCATCGAACATGTTGAGTTTGACAGAAATAAATAGTTATTTATTTGACAGCTCTGGTTATGTTTTAATATTGATGCAAGTCTTGAAGCAAAATACTGTGAAATAGAATGCCAATCTGCTTTCACTTGAAAAAGTAAGTGTAAAACTTGGATAGAGTTGACATTTTGAAGACTTTTTATAAAGTGTGTTGTGGTATCGAAAAAAATAATCATCTTATGGTAAGTAATGTACAATAGAAGTATTTACTAATGAATCAATAAAATTCGTTTGACTGTTGCCAACGTAGAAAAAATCAAGATCAGATGTGATTTGTTGATGAACATTGCGTAGCATGCAAACGACAACTGCACCACCAGCTAGATGAAATTGAGTAAAGTCGATATAGCTAGACCAAATATGATATGAAAAAAGACTCTTCAGATTCGCCACAAAATCATCAATGCTTGTTACTAATGATGGTTTGGGTATTCTTTTTCCAAATTTTGCAAATATTTGGTGATCGTAAGCAGTGACCGAATGGTATTCGAGCACAACTATAACGATGAAAGGGTGTGGGTGTGGTTGTGGTGTAAATGTTGGTGTTAGTCGTCTATTCATCCACGCCCACACCCACTCTCTTGTAGCAACTATTTGATTAAGTTTTCCATCATAATAATGTTTATCAGAATATTATTTAATATATTTAATATGGTTTGATTTAAATTTAGTGAGGCATAAAAGTTACAACGACCTGTATTTTTTATTTCATTATAAGTAATTTGAAAAAGATCTTCAACTCTGACACTTATTTCACTGATTAGTTTTGATTGAAGAATTTCAAAATATGTTTCATCAATAATACAATTTATCTTTAAATTGATTTGTGTCTGTAACTAATAGTACTCTTGTAAATTCGGTTCAATTATGTTGTGTAATTTGATCATGCTGTGTTAACACTATTATTGGGTGAAATAATTCTTCTGCATACGATGAATATGACGTTGATTCTAATGATTGCATTACTAATTTCCATGTATCATTATTTATAAACTTAATCTTATTAAAATAAAACATTCTTTGTTCACCTGCAGAATGTTTTTCTTTCAGTTTTGTATTAGTTCCATCTAAGTTCTGAAATACTGTAGGATCATCCCAGAGTAAGTCGTAGAAGAAACTATTTAGATAAGCTCGGACTCTTGGAAGATTTTCCTTTATCGAGATATTTCGTAGAATTTTTATTAATGTTTGTTCTCATATAACCGATGCTCTTTTACTCGGTTCTTTAACATCTCGTTCTGGATGTTGAAATACTCGTTGAGCTCTATATCTCATTTGATCGTTATCACTTTCTAATAAATCTACAATTATGCTAATTGCTGGTTTAAAGATATGCTTAGCTTCTACGAGTAAAAGGCGTCCAGATTTTTTATTTGATTAAAATAGCATCTTCTTTTCCTTTATGTATCAGTTCATCGATAATAATTGCTGCTAGTGGTATCAAAGATAATTCTGTATTTAAGGGTGAGGGTGTGAAGACTCACACTCCCCCCCCCCCCTTTATTTTTATTCTTATTCAGTCTCTTACTCCAGCAACTATTTTCTGAAATATTTTCATTTTCGATAATGAAACTCTCTATCAATGTAAAGAAGTGTTAGAATGATACTTATAATAGGACATCGAGCAGTGCTTAAATTGGGACATCCATGCAAGGCTTATTTACTGTTCAGGTCGGTAACTGACGTCAGAGATGTTTTTCACCTGTAGATACTTACTTTTTCGGGAACTAATACTTCTAAGGCCAGCTAACACATGCTCTCTTTTACTTATAATATTATTTTGAAATTCTCTCTCATTTGATATTCTCTGTTCCTTTTCATCCTGCTTGTGAGCTGTTTCGTAGATTATTCGATCTCAATCCTAACACATGCAATCTTCAGATTTGTCCAAATATGAAGACTCATTAGAAGTAAATGGCCTTGCCAATTATACTAAGAATGATATTCAAACTGTAGTGATATAATCACGATTGCGAAGTTATGGAATGTATTCCGAAAAGGCTTCGACAATAGCTCATTGATCCTATTCTTGAAGAATTCTGACGGCTTATGTCATATCTCTCTTTCGTCATCATTGGAATAGAGGAACAAGCATCTCTTTAATGTTCTATCAAATATGCAACAAAGCAAATAAAGATTTGGAATGATTGCAAATGATCGTTCACTAGTGGCAGAGCATCATCTAAAATTTCATTCGATCCAATATCGTTGTTTACTTCGCTCTGAATGGAAATATTCTTGAGACAAATCGATTGAAATCTTCGATCTACGCCGTTCTCGAAGAATTTTTTCTAATATGCATCAAAGAAATGAAGATGATTTCTAATCGCCATAGATTTGATCTTCTCTGAACAGAGTTTCATTTCAAATAATGAACCGATCAAATTGATTTGTTTACTAGATAAATTCTTTCATGATGAGTTAGACCAAATCAAATCAGCTTCTTCTTCGGTTTCATTTCAAAGGTGATGTTTTTCCAGTAAGAAACTTTGTCAATTTGTTTCATGAAAGGTCAAACATGAGAGGTAAGCTGATGAAAAAGTTGAAATAATTCTTGTCCGATCAATACCAACCATTTCTACAATTCATTTTATTTTCCTCAGAAATGTTTAATCAGTGATGCTTTTTTTCCATAACTTTAAGAAAAATCTCTCGTTTTTATCGAGAACAAAACAAGGCGAAATGATGTTTCAATTCAATTTGATAAACTTGAATTAGTTGTCAATTATTAAGATCTTTCTATTCAACTTCTTTCGATAAGAAATATAGAAACAAAGTGTACCAATAAATAGTTTTCATTACTCTCCAAATGGTTAGATATATGTCATTGGCCGGCGTAAAGAAGTCATCATTATAACTCTATTTGTCCGAGTCGTGGCTGATGATGCTACTCAATGATTAGAAGTTCTTTATTTTCTATTTTGCTTGTAGAGTTCTCTTTTTCAAACAAACACTTCGTCAATTCGAATCAGTTAAAAATGGTTCATATTCACAAACTATAATGCTATACCATTTTGGTAATACATTTAGCAAGATGAAGAATGAAAAGAATATCGCCTCAGCTGGAAGACGTCTTCAATATTGTTCCATTCAAATCATTTCTTGAACTAAAATCTTGAAGAGATCATTGAAACATCTTTGTTAAATACAATCGTTCGTCGACATTTTAGTAGCAAGCAAGAAATTTCACGAAAAAACGAAACTAATTGGGGTTATGTGCAAAGAAAGAGATGTGAATTGTTCGATATAAGTAATATTCAGTACTTAGACATTTAGACATTGTTTATCGACAAAACGACTTGTGCATTATGTTTCCTGTATATTTATTGTAAAATTTGTGAGTATCGTATGATTGTCTCTCAAACACTTCTTTTCACTAATTTAACCCAAACTTCTTCTGGTGCGAGAACTGTTCGTTCACGAAGGTTAAACTTGCTTTCGAGATCTTTACCGGGCAGAATAGAATACTCGCGCAGCAGTCGCACTAGCAGAATCTTCATTTCGATCAATGCAAAGCGCATGCCAATACAATGCCGTGGTCCTGCTCCAAACGGTAGATAAGCCAGCGGATGACGTTTTGTTTTGTGACGTTCGGGAAAGAAGATGTCGGGATCTTCAGGACCCCAAAGATCTCGATCGTAATGGACCGAATAGACATCAGCATACACTAAGGTGCCTTCAAAAAATAAAAGACATGTATCATTTTATATATGACTATCATAGAGATGAACAACATTCTTCAGATTAAAATACAATTTTACCTTTTTCGATTTTAATTCCTTGTACGACTGTATCTTCGAAGGCACGCCTTTGAATAGCTTGATTTGCAATAGGATACATTCTCAAAACTTCCGACACAAACATGTCCATATACGGCATCTGCGCCACTATATCATAATCGGGATATTTTTTGATTTCTTCATCAGCCGTATCATTAGTGGCCAATGGAAGTTGGTCGATTTCAGCCTGAAGTTTCTGAAGAACTTCCGGATGTCGGGCAAGTTCATACGTTGCACAGGCCAAACTAGTTGATGTTGTTTCATATCCTGCTATCATAAAGATAAAGATGTTACTGACTATTTCTTCTCGAGTTAGTCGATAGTTCGCCTTGCTACCATCTTGCACTTCATTCTAAAAAAGAGAAATGTATTTAAGATAAACTCGTAACTAGAGGTGTGCGGGACCAGGGTTTTTCAGCCCCAGGCTCGGTCCCCTGTCTAGAAGCAAAATGAATATCTTTTTCACATAAAATCTGAAGAAGCTTCTTGAATACTCGTTTTTGACTTATTCAGACAACGAATGTTACTCTTTTTAGTGATCTTTCTTGAATTTTGTTTTCACTGGTTCGATCAACATTTTTCTGTTGGTCCCGGTCCCTGCTAGCGGGACTAGGACCGGAACTGGTTCTGCACATCCATATTCGTAACTGTTCAAGCTCTTTGACAAAAAACATAGACGCAACAAACTCGAGTGAGGCTCTGCAGTAAGGAATCTGATGTTATACATCAATTTCATTAAAGTTGTGTTGTTTTTGATGACATGGAATGCCTTCACTTCCTCTCATGGAATTGAAAATAACAATTATATAAACATGTGCGAACGTCTTATTGTACTTCGTTTTCTACTCGAAGTGCGAATAAACTTTATTCAGAAAAACTCTTTTTCTCTTGATGCGAAATCTGTATCTCCAGAGATGCTTATTAAGGTTGTTAGATCTGACTTACATTAATTGGTTCGTCGGTGATCACTTGTAACATCAGTTGCAAAAGATCGACTCGTGAAGTTGGTGTCTGCTGTCGTTTGTCGATAATTGGATGTAGTCGATTGTGAAGCCACATAGCTGGCCATTCATGCAACTGTCTCTTCGACATCAAAGATAAAAGACGGGTATTGATGAACACCCGAACGGTGTTGATACCATCAAAGATTTTTCCAAGAATATTTCGTGTCTGAGGTACAAGTTGAAGAAGTTTGAAAAAAATACTCGATTTAGTGCTAGAAGCAAAGAGCTCTTCTACTTTCTTGAAATACATATTGTTTGGATTATTCTGTAAATCAGTGTCGAGTCCAAATGCGCATCGACCTAAACAAGACTAGAAATAATAGTACTCAAGACGTTCACCTAGCCTACAAAATGTACCTGGACTTACTAGGTACGCAATATGATTTCTTTTTCAGGAAGAAACTTTTTCTATCATTTTTGATACATAAAGTAAGATCTTGAAACACTCACAGAGGACGTCAGTTCACAAAAATTCAATCGCAAGATTTTAGAAACTGTTAACTGTGCAAAAATAATCATGATCATAGTTCCAAGACAGAAGAAAAAGTGAAATTTGTAGACTTCAAAAGAAGCGTAACCTGATACTAATTTCATATTGAAAGGAAGACTTGAGGATATATACTTACATATAACGTCCATTGTCATACGTTTATAATACATGTAGATATTGAATTCACTATCGGAAGTGACATGATCGACTATTTTTTCCATGACATTAGTAATACATCCATTGATCAAAGGACTCATCAGTTTTAGTTTGGCTGCAGAAAACGTTGGATTTAATATGTGACGATGCCGACGCCATTTTGCACCCGATGAAGAAAAGACATTTTGAATTTTAGCCCCTGCGAAAAGATCTTTTCGTCCCGGAAAAACGATAAATTGTTTGACGAAGATTTCTTGAAGAAAATCTGGATCGCTGATAACAAAGGTAGGAACAGTTCCTTGGTAAATTCCGTAGATCTTTCCATAATCTTTCGTCCAGCTTTGGAGTTGACGGTGAAAAGATTCACTATTCCATAATGTTTTAAGATGACCAAAGAAGAAATGAAAAGGTGGTGTGGGAATACCAAGTCGACTAAAGTATTGATAACGTTGACGTAGTAGAAAAAAGTAATACGTTGCCAGACCAATGCATATAAGAAGCAAAATTATTGATAAAGATAACATTTTAGTTACTTGATGTTAAAAAAGAAAAATCGCGTGTCTTTATATAGATAGATGATTATGCCATATTTTCTCTTGATTGCTCTGTATTAAGTGTGTTTGATAACATCGAACTATAAGTTCGGGTCATGCGTACCTTTGGGATGTATAAAAGGACGACGTTCTTTTCAATTCATTCTTTTCTTCATTGATATTCACCTTTGCTGAGAAAGAAAAACATGATTACACAGTATAAATATATCTAGAGAGCACCCTCTCGTTCTCCGCGTTCGTACTATTATTATCAGATATATTTTTCTCTTTTCTCATCCTACAAAGGTGAGATTATATTTTGCATCATTTAGTTTGCCATTGGGTTACTTACCGCATGACATATTCGTCTAGCACGTGCTCTATTCGTTACAATAAGTGACATAGTTGCTCAATCAAATAGAATCGACTATCAGTTAGTTAGTTTTGATGATTTTAGTTCAATTAATGAATTCACCTATATAAATAAAATCTTCGCATTGATACATATCATTGAAAAAAATTAGTTGATTAAGTTTGACAAATAGTGAAGTTATACGATTTTACTTTTATGCCGGACTTTTTTTGGACATCTGGTACATACTAACACCGCCATTTTACCATACGATGATAACTAGTGGGTCTTGATCCCACATATAACGTAAACGAACGAGTTATGCTCCTCCGTCTGTACAACTATCATGTAGATTTAGCATGTAGAAACGATTAAACGTAGTTTTTAGAAAATTTGTGACGCAACTAGCAACGTAGTCTTTTGATCTTCGAAATCGTGATACATGCCACTCTCGACTCATCGTTTTCATCTCTGGCCTTTCACTCTATTCCAACCTGTCCACCAAATCTTTCATCTCTGCATCTCTAAACCGACCACATAATGAACTTTCCCGACATGAAAATCTTTGCTCAAACTTTATAAGAATAAGATAAAATATAGCGTCAAATATAAGAAACAAGTCGCCTGTCTTCATTTTGAGTGAAATACTAAAAACATAATATTAATATATTTAAGCCGGGTATACTGTCGACAAAGCATCAAACTGTGGTTTATTTTGTTCTCAGAAAACGCTTAGATTCACACAAAAATAGTTCTCGAAAAATACTGCAGATAAGGCTTCATGGGTAACTAATAGTAATTACTTCGATTTCCGAATCTTTCTAGAAAAGCCATACTATACTGACATTTTTATAATTGAAACCTTAATGAGGTTTCTTCGAAATATATACGAAATTTATAAGGGCCTACTATAAAACCTTTTTCGTTGGGTCTCACAAACTAGCGACCAGTCGTTCGTCGACAATCCTACGGAGCGCTATCCAAGACTAATCGCTCCCACGTTTGAAACCAAAGTCAGAAGGTCAAAAAAAGTTGATGCGATGGAGATCCGATTTTGAGAGCAGTGCATACAAGTACATATGTCACACCACAAACCTATTCTGTTTCATATGGTTATTCTATACCTCAAGAGTACCGCGCTATTTTCTTTACAAACATCTTTCTAGTAGACAAAAATCATTTCAATAGTTTTTCAAAAACTACTGCTGCCATTCGATTTCTCGATCCTAAAAACCATTGGTCAAGCTTTATACGAAAATCATTATCTTTTCAGAAGAGACACTTTTTGTCCCTGATATACATCCATACAAACTATCTTATTTTTCTTCTTATGACTCTCCGTTCAGTTGAAGGAATAATTACACCTATGGTAGTTATTTCGTGGCATTTATTTGAAAAAAAAAATCATATTTGACTAGACTTCTGGTCGTTGGAGATGTTATACGAACTTTACTATACGAACTACGTAATTTGAATTGATCTCGGGCCGAACAATCATACACCCAGATCGATGAATACGAAATCTGTATACAGTGTTGTATATCTCTTTAGCCGTATGTGGAGCATTTTACTCCGTATACGATTGTCTTTGGAAACATCCGTGTGATGAAAATCACCCAAAAAATCGTTGATTTTTTGGTAACATGTTAGCCTAATTAAATCCGAGATATTACCGCGATTATATCGCAGATTTTTTCGATGATCCGAACGATCCAAAATCTACAGTTATCTGCCCTTAGGTATGCACCAGTCCCGGTTGGTTTGGTGTCCGGCATATTTCAACACAAATATTTTGTCACAAAAATGATTTAAAAAGTTTCGCAGTATTGATACGCATTTGAATAGTGCTCTTCATAATTGGGTATGCACCAGTCCAGTCCGACTGGGTACCCATACCTATCTGCTTCTAGATTCGGCTGTCGCCCGTTTACCACACTCAGTTGTCGGTAGTCTCGTTTTTCTGCTTTCTTCCATAAACAAATCCAATAAAATTGATTCATTTAAATCATACTTACTGCTTCATTTCCATATCGGATTAGATCCAAAAAAAGAATTGGTGTTTCTCGAAGGTCAATTGCTCATCAGTTGAGTGTTTAAATTCAATAAAGAAAAGAACTCAAATTGTCACAGATTACGATTTTATATGATTCTGTATGATACATAAGATCTTACAATCAACTATTCGACCTGAGATTAGTGGCGTAGCTAGAAAATCAGACTAGAGGGGACTCAGCCTCTGTGACGGCATTGACCGTCGTCGTGTTCTTGCTTATTCTCTGTCTTATGCTTCATTGCTTGACTTTTCTATTTTCTTCTCGTGTCGACGAACGCGCTCGTTTTTCTTTGATTCGTTTTACGGCTGTAGGCGTTTCGTGCTGTGTTTGTTCCTATTGGTTACAGTATCCATTAGTTCATTCATCCTTCTTCTGGTTCACAGACTCGCCGCTTCTTGTCATTGATCATTCTCTCTCTTCTCTTCTTTTTTTTCTCTCATTGATCATTCAATACATTCGTGGGTCTTCATCCGCTGTCTCTCACTCGATCACTTTTGCCATCGTGGCACCTGGACTCATATCCAATTGCTTCATACTACCCTCCCAAGACATTCCTAGATTCTAGACACCAGAGAGCGTTAAAAGGTTCCCACCATCGTTGTGAAGTTGATTCTCGCTACTCTTCTGTTAAGTGACTCTTTGACGAACAGAGGACGAGGTATGTTCAGATTTCCGAAAAAGGAAATTTCCGAAAATAACAAAATTTCTCTGACACCATTTCAAGACACACAAGCATGTCAAGAGAAAATGCCCAGAAAGTTCTCTAAATACCAATATATATCAAAAGAAATTTCAGGAAATTTCGGTAATTACTTGGAAATTTCCTTTTTCTTTATAGTTATGGTATTTGTATATATGCCAATAGTATCTGTTGTCTGTGCTTGTATACGCATATCTTTGTCAGGTTCGACGGATTATTCTGTTTTGTTTATAGCAGATTATAATGTTCGTAAGGAATTGCCTTGTTTTTAGTCGGCTGCCTGTGTATAGATGACGGCATATTAAGATGAATGCCAGATGATGGCTCTCGTATACAGATTGGTGTGTGTTTAACAAGTAGTAGCTTCATGGATGTTACTTTAATTTTTTTTGGGAAGATGTTCAAGGCTTTTTAATCATCGTGTGTTGCTTTCATTTGGTTATGTACAGTTTTTTTTGTTTAGATTACTGATTGTTGTACAGGAATATATTGGTTAGTAATTGATTATGGGGTATTGGTTAATTACTGGGAATTTTTTTCTTATCTTAGTCATAATAGTATTTGTTACTGAAAAAGAATTGAAACGAAATGGACAAACCAACTATGCTTGCTACACATTCACGATCAAGAACATTTTCCAGCAATAAAAGTTCCAGAAGTTAGACGGAAGCCAATCGTTCATTTTTGTCTATTGAAGGTCAAACGGCTATGGAATATAATATTCGTGAAATGAGTAAGATTAAAAAGGAAGTACAATTTCAACCTGAACTTGTCTGGTCACCGCGTGTGCGACAATGACTTAAAGCATCATTTGAAGTTCGTACGCTCGATTGTACCCGTTCAACAATTTATTTAATCTCATGTGCATCTTACATACCTGAAAATATACACGTTTATCGAAATGACGGGTGCGCCAGGTGAAATGGACCTCTCAGTATTTTGACTATAACTTTTTATCTTTTTGATTTCTAGACCTGATTGTTTTTCCGAAAGATGTGCTGTCAAATTCTCTACAAAACCATAATCAAACTCATTTATGTAATAAGTTAAGGAAAAAAATTAAACGAAGATTCTCCAACACATTAAAATTCCCAACTTTCAAAGCTAACGGGTGTTCCATGAATGACCGGTGTTTGTGCCTCTTTTGTAATCATCAAGTACGTTTATTTTTAAAGTAAAGTATGCCATAGGGTGTGGATGTGGGGTGTGGGTGGTAATTATCTACTCACAGCCAAACCCATACCTACACCACCCACACCCACACCCTTTGTTTCGCGTTTGTTTTCTCTTTTGGTTTTTTTTTCTCGTTTGCTTATCTTATCTTTATTTATTTATCTATTCATAATAAAAATTGTTATTAAAAAAAATAAAAAACAAAAAATTCTTTTTACTATTAATATTGTGTTGACTTGTTACAATCAAAGAAAGAATTTATGCTTTCTAATAATAGGTTAAACGTTTTTTTTTCTAAGTTTTTCCTTTATAATAATTTTAACTATCTTAGAAACCGTACTAGCCAATGATTTTTCATTTGTTTGATCAATTAAATTACATTGGATATAATCATTTAGATAAAAGTCATATGAAATAAGAGCTAGTGAACACGGAAGATGTGACATTATATTGAATACTTTCTTGTGGCCAATAATTAATAATATCTGAATAGATATCAAGTCAAGCATTATTATGAAGTAATTTTATAGTTTTTGCACTTGATGACTTTCTTTGTTTCTTTATTTCATTGAGAAAAGGCTTGAGACAAGTTTCAATACTATAGTTGTAGTCTATAGTCTTAGTTTTATCTACACTATGCATAAAAACAGGATCATATGATTGAAAAAATATGCAAGACAAAGTTTTTCAAATCTACATCAGCGAACAATACTCATTGATGAATTCACCTTATGCCATCATGAAATTTCACGATAAATTAGAGTTCGTTCTTACTATTGCTCATCATTGAGACGATGACATACCTAACGTTATCTAACTTTTCTTACTTTCATTATCCATTTTTTTTTTTTAATTTTTCTTAGTAGGATCTGGATTATATCTGACAGTGTATCAGAGTTAAACCCAAAAACGATTTCTTATATATATATGATTATAGACAAAACATTCTTCTATGTATTCATATAACAAATTTTTGAATGTAAACTGGTTTGTAAGACTGTCAGAAACAGTATCAGAACTTCGAGTAGCACTACGTGAATTAAAATGTACCATGTTTATAAGGACAGAAGAAGTGATATGGTACAAATAGTAAAAGAAAAATCCAGCGAAGTTACATCGTTTTCATATGATTTCACTTGAACTTTGTAATCTGCATTGATTATTCAAAGAAATCTATTTATATATTAGATGTTGTATAACCAGACATTTCAAATAAGAAAAAAAGCAGTAGCCCTGTTGAATATGCGTTATTTTATGATTTCATTAGATGGAAACTAGTACAACAATATATTCCGTACTTTTTCTTACTTTACAATGATGTTAAACACAACAAACGAAGTCAATAAAAGTCAAGTATTCATCATAGTAGCTTCGCGAGTAGTTTATATTTGAATAATGTTAATCATTGAAATACCATCATTACTGTGTGATCTTTTCTTGCTCTAATCTTTGTTTTTTTTTATCTAACACTACGATTCGCTTTAAACAATCATATGATGACCATCTTGTTTTCACTCTTGTCTATCAATTTCTTAACATATCATTAAATCTGAACTGTTTTGTATTTCTCTTATGCGACCGTCTTTACTTAGCCTTTGTTTAATGATGTGGATAATCGATTTTAGTTGTTACAATATATGTACATTTCTAGCTATTATCTTCCTCTAGTTGCTATATTGACCTACATACCTGTCTTTTATATCATAGTTATCTTATTTTCCCCATTGTCAAAAACAGATTCAGTGATAGTTTAGAATTATAGAATGCAAATCCTTGTTATCAAACTGATCTATTTCTTGTCATGTGGAATATACCTCTCTCAATGGTGCCATTCCAATACTTATAACTGGTTTATTCGATTTAATTTAATTATGTCGTGTTATCCAGCAGAAACTAACAGATGATTATCGACTCGAATGAAAAAAATATAGAATATTTATTCTTCAACTTTTGTCGATTTCTTCACTTCATTTTTTCTTCGACTTTCCATTAATACTCGTCATATTTGCTCAGTTAATTGGTCATCATAATTAAGCAATCGAAATTGACTCTGTTTTCTATTTTACATCTTATTTTGTTTTGCTTCTACAACCATTTGTTAATTTGAATCCAGCACCAAGTATTGACAAGAAGGTTAAAAAGATTATGCCTAAACGAGGGAGACCAACTGCTATTTCATTAACTAATACAAAAACTAATAAAAGTGTTGCCATTGCTGATATCTTTTTTTACGAAGCCCGTATAGATATGAGCTGGTATTTATATCATATTATCGTGGTTATGATTTTCTTCTGGCTTCGTTCAAAAGACACCTGTCTCTTGCTCTGATGTCGGCAAAATCGTTGCATCATCAGGGTGTGAGTGTGAGTGTGGAACTTCTTGTAGCCCACATCCATACCCTCTTGTATTTGGAATGTTTCTTGCACTGGTAACTACTTAATTGACTTGTAGGAGATACTCTTGGAAGACATCATATGCTTGAGCAGAAGGATCGAGTTCTCATAGATCAATTATATTAGACTATCATTTAAAAAGAAAGGTAAATAATTGATTCTAGTTTTGGATTGAAATAAGAAGAAAGTATTTGTAAACATTAGAAAAATATGATCTTTAGCCTGTCCTAGTGGAACAAAATGTTTGTTATTCTAATTAAATTTCTTCTGATCCTAAATGAATATTTCTACATATTGATTTATTAAGGTTTAAAGCGACTTTGCTAAAATACAAATTTCTAAATCATTTTTCTTTGGAATACCAAATCGAACGTCATTCATAGAATATGGTTGACGTCGACCTGTATCATTATAACCACGACGAATGTAATAGGCAATTAATTCAGTTCGATGGGCAAGGACGCTCATTTCAATTAATTGTGCATGCCAATGATGACGAGCAAAATTTTCAGCCACTGATATAATGAATTTTCCATAGCCACGTGTTTGTAGATCTGGACGCACAGTTAACATACTTAGTAAAACTTTTTTGACTTCTGTATTCTGATGCAAAGGTATACAACAACCAAGATGGGTATTCGTAGCCTTTGTGGTATCTTGCAACATGACACAACCGATTAAAACTTTTGTATCTCGATCGAAAAATAGCAAAATGACTGAGCCATCACTGGTAATCATTTGTATTAACGTATCCGGGTCGATTCTTTGGCCACCAACAAATTCATATTCGGAAGTCCAACCTTGACGGGATGATTCTCCACGATAGGCCCCATTGACTAATATCGAAATTGATTCACAATCTGAGATATTGGCTAAACGATAAGTCAACAGCTCAGAAGACTCATCTGCTCGATTGGATTCTGTCTCTTTGCTGTCAGTTACCGTAGACACATGCATTCTGAATAATAGTTGTCGTCGATAATAGAGGATTTGTAAAAGTATCAATGTCGAAAGACAATTCAACGAGACCCAACCAATGAAAGTGTCTGTTTCTCCAGCCATATATTTCATCTTCAATTTTGAGTTGCTTATCTTGACTTATGCACTTGAGATAACACACTACATCTGATAACACACCTTTGAGCAAATACAGCGAATATCAACATTGATTGATGAAAAATGTTTATTAGTCTTAAATGCAGAATGACATAAGGTGTTGGTATGGATGTGGGTGTAAGTGTGATTTCTATCTACATTCTCGCGCACACACACATCCTTCAATGTAAATAATTCTTGTTAAAATTCAATGAAATTTTAGCATTTTGATAAGACTAAGAGAATAAAAAATTGAATGTATTAAATCGTTACATAAGATAATAAAATGTAATTGATAAGATTCGAGTTCATTGCAATGAAATCTTTGAAAAAGAAAACAAAAGATTTGTATCATGAAAATGTTGAAGTCGAACAAATTTTTATAAGAAATATATCATGATTAAAAGATTAAAATAAATTATGTAATAGAAAAACTTTTTGAAACATTATTTATTTATTAAAATATACAAATGAATATGTCAACAAATAGATTTGTCGATTTCTCTATGAATTATTTTATTATAGGTAATAATGAATCAAAATTAAGAAAAAATTTCCATTGATTTGGATTCAATTTTATATAGACAGCATCCGGCTGAATGACTAATGTTTCTCGAATAATAAAATTATTATCAGTTTTATCACCAAATTGAATTATATATTGACTAAGAAGATGTGCCAAACATAATTTAATTTCAACTAGAGCATAAACGCATTCAAACACAATTCTTGGGACCGTGACTAAATGGCATATAAGCCGTCGGATGTCAACGAGTATAATGTCGTTGTGGAATAAATTCTTGAGAATCTTCAAGATCCCATAATTCTCGATTATAATGTAATGAATAAACAACCCGTTGAATAACATCACCTAGATTTAGTCAAATAATCAACAAAAACCATTTTCTCTGAAAATTTAATCGAATTTCAAAACATCAATGAAAACTTTGACAAATCTTTTTGAATATTGTAAAACACATAAAGTTGTATCTTGATTGCATTGTCTTAACATAGAGTGAATATCAATTGGATACATTCGTAAAACTTCACGAATAAAAAATTTCAAATAATCCATATTAATCAGAAGATCATAATCAAATTCTTTATCGTTATGACTTAATAGATCATCGATTTCTTTTTGAAGTTTCCTATGAATATCACTTTTTTTTAGCTAATACATAAACAGGATATGCTAATGTTGTTTCAAATCCAGCAATCATAAAGAGAAAAACATTACTAGTTACTTCACTATAATGAAGTTTCTTTGACATAAGAGATTCATCAATATGATTCTTACGAAAAAAAATGTTATTATTTATATAGATACAGAAATTAAGGGGAAATTTACATAAACTGGATCTGATGAAGCAGTATCAAACATTAATTGAAGTAAAGCAATTCTTTTTGATGATTGATTTGTTTCAATTCTTTGTTTAATAACATATTGAACTTAATTGATCATCCAAAATCCAGAAAGTTCTTCGAAACGATTCATAAGACACGAGGTGCCATAGAACGTCAACCCATAAAAATCACAAATTTTAAACGAACAATTAGACTAAGAAATGGAATTAACTATGGTAATGAGTAACTTAATTTAACAATAAATAGATTATTTATATTGGTTTGAACATCTATATCAATGCCAAATATACAACGATCTTAAAATAAATTTAATAAAAAAAAAAGCCAATATGTTGAGTTTTTGTACATGTTTATTTATTATCTTCTATTAATTTTATGTATATATGTTCAATATAAAGTTAATATAATTATTATCGGACATTGTTTCGTAATTTCAATAGAATTCGTTGTATTGGGTAGAAATTTCAATAACTCTCAAAAACAATTACCTTAATAATTTAACCAAAATATTTTATCGTGAAAAAAACAAATTAAAAACTAAACTTACATATAACATTCATCGTTAATTGTTTAAAATATTAATAAATATCAAATTGTTTTATCGTGTTAATTTTTAATATTTTCCATAGATCTTTCAACAGAATCTTTAATTAATGGTAACATTAATTTAATTTTAGCATTAGCAAATGTTGAATTAATAATATGTCTTTGACGACGTCAACGATCGTCAATAGCTGAAAAAATATGTATAAAATTTTCATTTGATAAATGTATTATAAATGGAAGACGACAAGAATGAAAAAAAAAGAAAATTGTTTAACAAATACTTCATGAAGAAAGTCAACATTAGATACAATATAAACAGGACGAATTCCTGCATATAAATCATATATTGAATCGTATTGATTTGTCCAATATTGATATTGTCGAGATAGATTTTTTACTGACCATAATTTTCTGTAATGACCAAACAATAAATCAAATGGTGGAGTTAAAATTGAACGATGTTTGGAATACGAGTAACTCGATTTTATTTTCCATATACATACAAACTTAACAAGAAAAAACTCCAAATCACAACAAAACCAGTCGTTGTGATAAGTAACATGCTTTTAGATTATATGAATAAGCGATAAGAACGAAAAAAATCAAATGTAGTTTTCACGTGCTTTGTCTTTTAAGGTTATCATCAAGATTATTTTTTTACCTTTAAAATCCTTTTCTTCATTCTTCTTGTTTTTCATGTAACATTTATTTCAAAATCATCTCTGTATAATTATCAATCTTCTTGAAAACAAAAACAACTTAATCTGATATCACATATATATTCCTTTCGACTCGAATAAAAAAAAATTAGTATCTGCAAGTTTTATACCTAGTATTAATTACTATGTCAAATAATATATGATGTCAAATATTAAATTAGTTTTTTTTTTAATCTCAAATAAATAAAAAATCAAAACCAATCAACTATAAAGTTTATCCTAAGGGATATTCATATTGGACAGCCGATAAAAAGTTTTTTTTTAGAGAAAATAATATAGACTGAGTAAAAAAAAACTAATGGCATAATGTAATTTTATTCCAATTACTAGTGCTACTCTTTTATGAGAGATTTCAATTACAGTCGCTATTAAATGATAAATTATCAGAGAAACACAAAAAGCCAACAAACTAAAGTAAAGCGTTTTAGCTTATGGCACTGATCGTAATACAGGGTGTTGGAGTAAAACTTAAATATTCTCTCCCACTCCCACGCCCAAAATCTAATCAAACAACATTTATTTCATTGTTCAAATATACCATCAATCATAATAATAAATACTAATAATTAATAAAAAAAACCTAAATGGTTTTACTGCAGATTGAGTATTAGTATCCCAATCAGAATTGCTTGTAGTGTATGACTTATTTGAAGTATGATATACAGTAGTGCACTTATTGTCTGTCTAAAAGTATATTGAATTTTATTATTAAAAGAATAATTCAAATGTCAAAAACGATTAAAAAGTCAGGCATAGAAATTTATTTCATTTATAATTATTTGTTGAAATTTTTTTCTAAAATAACTATTTTTAAAATAAATATAGTCATATATATTGCTTGAATCGATTCGTATGACTGTCATGGCTAATATAAAGAATCGAAAAAAAATATGATAGTATAGAGATTTATGTGTTCTTCTATATTCTTACATGACAACGTTATCAGTGGATTTTTTCTTTTTGTCTGTTGTTTCAAGGCCTATTTGTCACAAAATTGTATTTGCTTCATATTTAACGACAAAATAACTTCATCCAAATACTTTTACTAACATTCATTGAGTTAATTAAATTCTATCAAAAGAATTCAATACCTATTCCAGAAATAGCAATAAAGATTCCAAATGACAACGAAAAGAAAATCCACTGCCGGTTATTATCATGTATCTGTTGAAGAAGCTAGACGTGAATTTGGAATTTCGCTTCGAGAGTTAAAAACATTAATGCAAAGACGAGGTTATGAAGGTATTAGAGAGCTAAATGAAACACATGGTGGTCTTCAGGGTCTTGGACAAAAGCTCAAAACAAATTTAATAGGTAGTAAAAATAAAATAAAATAAAATAAGAACAAACAATCCAAATTATAAAATCTATTATTATGTTTTTAGGTTTATCTGATGATGAAACTGATTTAGCCATGCGTGTAGCTGCATTTGGTCGTAATGAGATTCCATTAGAACTACCAAAAACATTTCTTCGTCATATATTTGATGCTTTAAAAGATCGTACAATTGTTATAATAATTATATTTGCTATCATTTCACTTGTTTTATCATTTTATCATCCAACTAGAGAAATATTTGAAGGTGAAATAAAACCAAGTAAATTTATAATCAAAACAAAAAAAAGATCAAGGACAATGATTTTTTTTTTTTCATGCATACATTTTTAGAGAAAGCAAGGGTTGAATGGATTGAAGGTGCAGCAATTATTATTGCTGTATTGATTGTTGTTCTAGCAATAGGACTTAATAATTGGACACGAGAACGACTACTTCGTTGCTTTCAATGGTATAATAAATTTCATCAAAAGTTTAATGTTGTTAGAGGAAATACAGTACGACAAATTCCAATAAACGATATTGTTGTCGGTGATATATGTAAAATTAAATATGGAGATTTATTACCAGCTGATGGTGTTATTATACGATCAAATGATCTTAAATTTGATGAATCATCATTGACCGGAGAATCAGGTTTAAGTGAAAAACATGTATCAAGAGATCCATTTCTTCTTTCAGGTCAATAAATTCGTTTTTTTTCCTTGTTGATGAAAAATAAATAATTAAAATTAAATTATTTATTATTTTGAATATTTGATTAGGTACGCAGGTTATGGAAGGTTAGGGTAACATGTTAGTTTTGGCTGTTGGTGAACATACTCAAAGTGGAACGGTATATAGATTATTAGCCACAATCACTGAAGAAAATAATGGTTATAAAAAAACCAATGATAATAAAGAGCAAAGTATGACATGTAGTTGTTATTTTAACCTTTAAATATTCCCAAAACTTTTCCCTAATATATATTGGATGACACAAATGAATTACAAATTCAAAAGCTATGACTTACCTTGCGATTCAGTTTTTATTCATTTCTATCAGTACTGATTGTAGGATCTATTAGAGTCTCAATGTGGATGTCGAAAAACGAATCCCACCACGGCTCTCTCAATGGGAATGCCACAAAACCTTGACATATCCTGATACACCTTACGAGAAATTCATAGCTTTAATAGACTTATAAAAATCATACATGTAGCCATACATAATTTGATTAAAGAGAATATATGTATATTTATATATATTCAGTACGTACCAAAATTTTGCAACAAGTAGAGTAAAGATATTTTTCTTGCTTCATATTTCGGAAACTAGAGAAGTTATGATCACTGGCTTTTATTCTTATGATAGTCCATAGTATCTAGTATATATACATACATATATATATATATACAAAGTCTAAAATCAAACTACCTTCCGATTCCACAGATACTAATGACAAAGTTATTGTGCAATGTTTTCGACCGATTCAAAATGAATCAACAAACTTATTTCTATGATTTTACTCATTTTTCTTATCATTGAAAATGGAAATCATGCATTCTCAGAAACATGTTTACCACGCTAATCATGCATTAAATTCATCACACTCTGTATTGTTTATATACAAGTTACTATCTGAAATATTTTTGAAAAACATAAACATGTAGAAAATTCTTCTCTCCATAAAAATATTTATAATTGAAATCGAGAGTACTTCGTCTACTAAGACAATTAACTTAGAGTTGGTCATAAGGCATCCTGTGAAACAATTATGTATTGCTCGAAGGAAACGAAGTACTCTCGATTTCAATTATAAATATTTTTATGGAGAGAAGAATTCTCCACATGTTTATATTTTCCAAAAATATTTTAGATAGTAACTTGTGTAAAAAGAACACAGAATGCAGTGGATTTTATGCATAATTAGTATGGTAAACATGTTTATGAGCATGCACGACTTCCATCTTCAATGATACAATAATAAATAAAAAATATTTTCATATACAGCTGAAAATACTCTTTTTATTGCTACTCTAAAAATTCAAAATCAGTGAAGCTTTGAAGTAAGAAATCGTCTCGGTCGGACATTTTTTCAAAAGGGTAGTATGATAAATAATAGTCTGTCGTAACAATGACGCAACCAGAGGGGTGATTATAGGGATCAGCCCTTTCCCCGATCTCCAAACAATTTTCGCTATCAGTTTGTAAGGTTAGGATTTTTGAATATTAGGAATGTTTTATTTTGTTTTTATTTCTTTCTATAATTATCTTGAAATCATTAAAAAGTCTTTCGTAACAATTCACTCTGTTTTCTGATTTATAAGCCAACTCATATAAACAATGAATGAAATTGCTCAATCGAAGGGTGTGAACATCTACACCCACATTCACACCTTTTCTTTCAAAGCATATAATAAATCGAGCAAAATCTGATGACTTCAATTTAGCAGCTTCTGTGAGAGTCGATTGTGACTTATATGAGCTGATTCTTATACTAAGTAAAAAAAGAAAATTTTTTGTTCTAGACATTGCAATTGCTAGTTTGATTGTACTTGTCCTACTGATTCGATTTTTAATTGAGGTATTTGTGCAAGGGTAAAAGAAGAAATTTTGATTTTCATTACTTTATTGTTCAAATATTGTTTTTTATAGACGTGGATGGAGTTATGAATACTGTATTGGACTTATACGATATTTCATTACTTTCATAACAGTTTTATGTCGTTGCTGTACCCAAAAGTTTAGCATCGACTGCAAAACTATCATTAGATTTTGCACTTAGGGTAAGTTAAATAATTTAAAATTTTATTATTTCTAAAATAATATTTTTTCTTCTATTAGAAAATGATGAAAGATCATTATGTTTTTCGTCATTTGAATGCATGTGAAAAAATGGGTTATGCAACGACAATATGTTGTGATAAAAGAGAAACATTAACAACAAATCGTATGACTGTTGTACAAGCTTACGTTGGTGAAAAACATTGGAAAAATGTTGAAACTCCAGATAGAGCAAAAGAAATTATCATACCAGATAATATAAAAGAAATTATATGTGAAAGTGTATCTGTTAATAGTAGTTATTCATCAAAATTATTAGTAAATTAATATTTCGTTTTTCAAAAGATCAAAAAAATACTTCATAACGAAAAATTTTTCTTTTCTGTTTATCTTCTTCCTTAAGCCTCCACGAGAATATTGAACATTACCAAAACAAGTTGGAAATAAAACTGAATGTAGTTTATTAGTTTTTGTTAATACTCTTGGTGAAAGTTATGATAAAATACGTACATGTCATCCAGAAGAAAAATTTGTTCATGTTTATAAATTTAATTCAGTACGAAAAAATATGTCAACAATTATTCAACGATCTGATTCAACTGTACGTATGTATACAAAAGGTCCATCAGAAATTGTTTTAAAAAAATGTAAAGCAATATTAAATCGTTATGGTAATATTGTACCATGTTTAAATGTTGATTATGATCGTCTTGTACGAAATGTTATTGAACCAATGGAATGTGATGGTTTACGTACAATATGTATTGCATATAGAGATTTTCCATCAGATAATTTACCCGATTGGAATGATGATACTAGTGTTCTTGATCAATTAACATGTATTTGTATATGTGGTATTGAAGATCCTAAACGTCCTGAAGTACCTGATACTATAGCTAAATGTCGAGATGCCGGTATAACAGTCCAAATGTTTACAGGAGATAATGTTAATACAGCTCGATCTGTTGCACTTAAATGTGAAATTATATCACCTTATGATAATATTTTAATATTTGAAGGAAAAGAATTTAACAGACGTATAAGATCAGAACCAGATGGAGAGGTAAAAATATTTTTGTTTAAATTTACTGTCGTTTTTTGAAATTTTTATTTTTATTCTTAATGTAGGTTGAACAAAATTTATTTGATAAAGTTTGGCCACATTTACGTGTATTAGCTCGTTCATCACCAAAAGATAAATATACACTTGTCAGAGGTATTGCTGCATCAAAGAACAATCCAGCAGATGAAGTGGTTGCTGTTATCGGTGATGAAACAAATTATGCTTCTGCTTTGCAAGAGGCTGATGGCGGTTTGCTATGGTTAGTGTTTGTTTTTCTTTATTTTCATTTTTTTTAAATAATTTACATAGGAGAGGATTGAATTGTAAAACATGATATGACGAATAGTACTTGTTGCCTGTGCAATGATTTAGTTTTTGAGACTAACTTAAATAAGAACATAAGTTGATATTATGAAGTTTGCTCAAAATCGAATTTAGATTGACAAGGACTGCTTCACAATTGATTAGTCGCTTTTCAGTCGAGACTCTATGCATTATGTAGGTCCTAATGAGTTATAAATATCCTAAAAACAGTTCAAGTTCTTAGGTTATTATTGCTGAGATACTTGAAAAAGAAATTTTCGAATTTTAATTCGAAATTTTACGCAAAGATAAGCTTTCGCGAGAATAGTTTATTGTGAAAGTTTTAACTCTTTGAGTGGTTCCTATCGTAAGGTCAAAAGTCAGAAAAGCAGGGAGCGATGTGAAAATTTTGGGACTCGGACTGAGCGAAGCCCAATATGATTGACGAGCTCTACTCCTTTATAATTAATTTTTATTCATTATCACCCTGTGAAACTTTAGAATTTTGACCAATTGGATGAGACTTTTTCTTCTATAGCTCTCACAATTTTGAGATTCTAACGAAGCTTCTGTACAAGATATCGCTTTGGCATGGTGTTGCTCATATACACCAATAGATTCAATGTTCTTATTTCAAGATAGAAATAAATCAAAAGATTTAAAACTTTCTTGCTAAACTATTCTCATGAAAGTCTGTGACTCTGTACAAATTTCAAGTTGAAACTTGAAAATGATCTCACCGAAAAAGGACTATGGCATTGTATAAAAACATACATTACTTCTGCAACAATAAATTTAGTGACCAAGTTCTATTCGAAATATTCATTATTCATTGAGGCTTACGTGAAGTACATAGTCTCGAGTAAAAAGTGATTAATCATTTGGAAAACTTCTTTCTTGAGATACCATCTCAATACAGATCAAGACTTAGTATATATCTTAAACATAGACTTAGACGAAAGGCAGATTGATATAGATAAAGTGTGAATCTGACTACATACTGGAGTTTCATGTAAGTTTTCGAAGTAGTTCAATTATTAATCTAAATCAGCAGTCATTTGCACATTCGATTCTATATCTTGATTAATAATATTTGCCAGTAATTTTATCATACTAAATTCTGATTGTCAAGTTAACCTGTAATTTATTTAATATAGGGTATGCAAGATACCAATGTAGCAAAAGAAGCATCAGATATAATTCTTGTTAATGATAATTTTAATTCGATTGTCAAAACTGTTATGTGGGGTCGTTATATTTATGATTCAATAGCAAAATCACTTCAATTTCAATTAACTGTTCATATTGTTGTTGTATTTTTTGCTTTTATTGGAGTATGTATTACACAAGAATCTCCATTACGTAGTGTACAAATCTTATGGATTTATCTAAGTATGAATACATTGGCATCATTAGTATTTGCTATTGACATACCAACAGATGAAATATTAAGACGTAAACCTTACGAATGTACACGACCATTAATATCTCGCACAATGATAAAAAATATTATGAGTCATGCTATTTATCAATTAGCTGTTATGCTTTTTATTTTATTTGACGGTAAGAAAAAATAAAGAAGTCACGAATAGAGATTTATATTCATTTTTATTTTTGAATATAAAAGGATCTAAGGTATTTAATATCGACAATGATCGTCCAGTTGATAGTATATTTAAACCATCTGAACAGTTTACAATGATATTTAATGTATTTGTGTTAATGACTTTATTTAATGAAATAAATTGTAGAAAAATTTATGGTGAAAAAAATATTTTTCATGGCATATCTACAAATCCATTTTTTTACGTTATATGGATTGTTACATTTGTTGTACAAATTATTCTTGTTCAATATGGCTCGTTCGTATTTTCTTGTGTTACATTAACATTTGAACAATGGACGTGGTGTCTTCTTTTTGGTGTTGCAGTTCTTTTATGGAATCAAGTAAAAAGATTTAATGTTATTTTTTAATAAATTTTATTTATGCTAGGTGCTTAATTTGATCCCAATGACGCGTCATACGTCGAAACTGGGCGGGCATGGTGTTCATGAAGTAGTATCACCTGTTGACCTAGATCCAGAAGAACAGTCAAGACCAGAAGTAAATCTAACAACGGAACAAATGCTTTGGTTAAGAGGATGACACGTCTTCAAACACAAGCACAGAAAAAAAAGAAGAAAAGGAGGACTTTAATTTGACTATACTCTTCTTCTTGCAATAAGGCAAAAAAATCAACCCTGTCATTGGTATTTGTTTTTGTTTTTATGCACTTAATGTCGTCGTATATATTTTAAAAACTTGCTTAATCTCTCTTTTTCTCCATGTCAATGACATTAAAAAAGTTTTACTTCGCTAACATCAACGCATGTACACATTTGAATAATTATACTCAACGAAAATTGATGTGCCTAATAATGACTTTATTCTGATCGAGACATTGAAGAATTTTTATAATTCTAAAATGAAATCATATAATAATTCAAAAGAAAAGACAAAGATTATTTTTATGTTGTCAATAATTATTCATTACATCAGATTAATCATAGCATTGATTTCTATATTTTTATTAACAAAAACTAAACTATATGAATTTTATTGCTTATCTAATTATCTTAATTATGATTTATCTATAATCGGTATGAAAAGTATAAATCGTTAAAATTTTGCAAGAACATGTTGCCGAACTGCTGTCTTCTCAAGGGTAATTATGATCATTCATATGAAAAGCGAATGTGTGCTTTATGTCTATTCATTAAATCCTTCTTAAATAACATAATGCTGCTCTCCCCCTCCCTCAGCATAGAAGGCCATAGACTTTCCAGAAACTTTTTAACCCTTTACCCCCCATAGCGGTTCCAGAAGAGCCACTGATAGAATAACTTTATAAATAGAGTATTGGCCTGTCAAATATGCCAATGGTGTGGCCTAATCCACCGAATGTCCTGGTTCTGGAGTAGGGCGGTTTGATTCATATGAAAATCATGTGGTGGAAAATGAGAATTGAACAACATTATAAGACTTAATTTTTTTTTCTTTGACCACATTATTGACTAGACAGAAGCAGCATCTATCTCGTACTGTTGAAGTGATAGGAAAAACGCAACGAGTGAACCGATAAAAATTAACATAAAACAATGGATGCTTTTTTTACACCTATTGTCAAACTTAAGCCTATTTTATTTTGAGCCATTTTGTAACGTCTGGAGGAATTTAATTCGTCATAAATACTATTTCGACTTCTCATGAGTTGAGGTCTATAATGCATATATTAACTTTGTTCTTGGTTACCCTCCATCTGTCTAACAGTGACTACATGGTCAATTATATTCCTTAGTATGTATAATTCGCGGAGTTATCATGAAGCTTTCGAAACATATCTAATTCGACAGTGAACTTCTTCATCGACTAATATCACACAGAAATTCCAAAAGATCTCTATCGACTGCAACTGAAAAACATTTTGTTTAAAAAATTTCGAATTTTTGCATTCTTTTAAAAAATTTTGATTTTGTAAGTCATATATCTCGAAGGCAGAGTAATGAAACAAAATATTTTTTTTACCAATCTATAGATTGTGAAGTTCCCTACAAATAATGTCTTGGGAGTTTTTCAGCCTCTTGCTTCCTTTATTTTCTGTGATCGTTCTACAAATGGGTCATATATGACCCACTGGAGGGTAAAGGGTTAAACTTCGTAGTGATTTTTATTTATAATATCCTATTGAAGCACACTAAAAACAAAGCTTTGAGATTCAGCTTGCATTTCTACTAAAGAAATATATATACTAATGTTGGCATGATTTTCTCTCATATTCTAACTTTAAAAAATCAAAATAAACCATAATTTTATAAAAAGTTAAGCCAGATTGAGAATTCTATTTGAACGACGTTAAGTTGATCTCGGAAAAAATGATGAAAATTATCTCGCTTTCTTCCGAGTACAAAATAATGAAAAAAGATCTCGGTTGGACATGTTAAACAGAAAACGCAAGTACAGATCCCCGTCTATGTGAATACTAATAAAGAGAGTTCAGAATGATAAAAAAATACATCAATAACGTATTATTTATTTACTATTTAATCAGAAATATATAAAAAAATTTTATTAAAAATCTGTTCTTCGACAATGCCTATTTCATTTTTTTCTTCGTCCTTTGCCATTTTCTTCTCCGATTAACTGCCAAGTAGTTCAAACTTCCCAGCTCATCGTAAGATCTGTTGAGTCTTTACATGAATATTGTTTCGGATTATATTTACATGAACAGAAAAATGGAGACAAAATGTTGTTCCAGACAACACTTATATATTTATTAGATCACACAAAATTGAAAGCCACTTTGTAAATTATGTTGCTCCTTCATTCGCTCGTAAACATCCGCCATGCCATTAGATGATGCATTTTTACTACTCTGTTCTTTTTTTCTAATCACTATATACACTGGCCTCTGTGTAGTCATAAGTACATGTATGTACACAACACCGAAATCTTTTCCTCCATTTTCCATCTTTCGATTATTAATGAGGTTTTTTGGAGATTGTTTTCTCTTATGTTGTACTCGAAAAAACACGAGATCATTTTCATCAT